GGTTTAAAAAAGCACTCTCCTCCCAATAGAGAGGGCAGAAGTGTTATGCAGCAGATGGCGATCCCCAGACAGATTATTGAGTTGCCTGGAAGAAAGGCCAACTAATCTAAAATACGGGCCCTGACCAGCTTTGTGTCCAGCCTGTGAAGCTACTGCACCCCTGCCCCTGGCCAGCTGCAAACTGCTCCCCCACTCCCAGGTCCATGCCCTGAAATCAAGCAAGAGCAAGTACAAATCAGGATTTTTTGTTCCTCATCTTTATTTTTTTTCACAATAAATAGAATTGTTATCAATTTGATTGAGAAATCACAATAAAGCTAAAACAGTATAGACTTTTTTACTCAATCATACCATTGATAATCAACTGGTGAATACATTTTTTTCCAGTACAGCCACTGCCAGCAAACACAATACAGTAAGATAAAACACCAATTCACAATATATTCCCAAGGTCCCTTGAGTAATCCTTTGACATAAACTGAATTAATGGCAGGCTGTGTGGTGGGAGGGCAAGGGGGAGAGGGGCAGGCAGCCAGCCAGCCTGGCTACTGGCCCAGCCTGGAGTTGTGGGAAGTGTGACAGGCAGTGGCCAGACAACAGAGACATGTCCGGGCAGCAGCAGCAACACAGGGACCGAGGAGGTATCCTCAAGGAGAGGCTGGTCAGGCAGCCCTTGTGTATGATTGTCTGGCAGGATATATTGCTGACAACAACACCTAGGAGTGTTTTGTTCTTTTTCTTGGTTATTTTAAATTCATTTACACTTTAAATCTGTATCTATCTACAGGGGCTTGCAGTGTTGCAGACAGGGGGCAGAAGGGAAGATGACCAGGGAAAGGGGGAGGAAATCTGGACTGGGTTAGGGGTTTGCTGCTTCCAGACTGTGACTGGTTTGGGGGAGGGGGCATTACACACCGTCAGCCACATCTGAATGAGTCCCTCCCTCCCCCCACATGGGTGAGAAGGTTAACTATTATAGCTCTTGGCAAGCTAGATGAGTGGAGGACCAAGCCAAACAGCAAGCCACATTTTCAAAAACATTCTGAAAACATTTATAAAACAGTTCACAACACACCTCCAAAACCCATATGTGGCACTCCACAAACAGACTGATGGTGTACCTGGGCAAGGAACAGGAGGGTTCCAGTGGGAGCCCATTTGGAAACTGTATGAAGATGAATGAGCTCGGGAATGCTGGGAAACATAGTCTAAAAAAAACAGGAAAAAAAATCCAGAAGAGCTCGCCAACATCAACAGCAATCGCCAATCAACTGGGTGGCAACAAACACCTACCTACCCACCCCCTACTCAGAATATTTTATGATATCATAGCAGTTATCATATATCTTGACTTCAAAAAACCCTTCGATCTGATATCCCATGATCACCTCTTAGCGAAACTGGCCAATTGAGGCCTTGGGTCCACCACAATCCACTGGCTGGGAAATTGGCTTTGTGGCCAGACCCAGAGGGTGGTAATTGACGGAAGTCAATCTTCATGGTGCCCTGTGACCAGTGGGGTCCCCAAAGGCTCTGTCCTTGGACACATATTGTTCAACATCTTCATTAATGATGTGGATATTGGAGTCAGAAGCAGACTGGCCAAGTTCGTCGATGACACCAAATTTGGGGCAAAGCATCCACACCTGAAGACAGGAGGGTGATCCAGGCTGACCTAGACATGCTCAGCAAGTGGGCGGATGAGAACCTGATGGTGTTTAACACTGAAAAATGCAAGGTTCTCCACCTTGGGAGAAAAAACCT